ATTTTACAAGTAGATTTTGCAGAAAATTACTCTGCAAAGGCACAGGATGAACTCCAGATGCTGCACTAGACATATGAACAGGTAACTACTTTTACAGGAGTTTTATGGGTGCCATCAGGTACCCATGCAACTCCTGTAAAAATTGGTCTCCTAAAAATATGCACTCCTTTGTAATAATCAGTAATGATTTATCTAATGGAAAATACAGTACTCTGTGTGGACTTTCCTTAAACACATCTTCATGATGCTTATTGAATTCCAGCCCAACATCAAGTAGGTGATAATCTTTTCGATGGCTGTGCAGCTCAATTTAAAAATAAATACACATTAACAAATTTGATTTTTATGCAAGAGCTTTTTATTAATTAATGGAGAATGGTCATTTTTTGAATCTTCACACGGAAAAGGTGCTGTGGATGGAGTAGGTGGTATTGTTAAGAGAACAGTATGGAATGCTGTGTATACAAGAAAACATGTGGTGATAAATGCAAAAGAATTTGCTGAATGTACCAGCAAAAAGATAAAACATATCTGCATAATTTTCTCTCCAAAAGATAAAACTGAAATGTGCAGGCCCATGTTAGATAAAAGATGGGGCCACTGAAGACAAGACAACATAGTCATAGTGCATTACTTCAAGCCAGTTTCTCACTATGTTTTAGATGTGAAGTCAGTTGCAGCATTGAGTCATATGTGAATCACCACAACTACGAGTTTTGAAAAAAAAAAAAACAGCATGTGACTCTCAAATAAAATGTATTTAACATTGGTAATTTGCAAAAGAAATTTACCATTTCAGAAATAAAGTTAAATTGCTGATGATAACATGTAATTTTTGTACACGTCACACCTGTAACCATTACATACTAATATTAATAGATTGTAAGATTTCCTTATTACCGACATATTGTTGTGGATGTTCTAAAAGACAAGGACCTAAGGTAAATGTGAAAATATAATCTTGACTTTCAAGTGAAAAGATTCATAGAAATCGGGCAATGATCTTGGTGAATAAAAATTTGATGTCATTTTTATGTCACACCTGTAACTGTGGATTTACCCCTTATAGTAAAAGTTACTTTTCCAATTCATGTATGTATACACAAACAGATCAGTGTAGTTTTTAAGGATAACCACTATAACATTTTTTCAAACTCCTTAATATTTACATAATAAGTTTTCCATGAGGGCCGTGTTTTTTCTTGTATCATGTCATGCAGGGGTTGGTGAGGTGTACCTTACTTACTTCTATTATTGTTTAGCCGAGACATTGAACAATAATAGAAGCCATTTCAAATATCTAATTGGGACTTTAATGCCAAAGTGAGGAAAAGAAACAACGAGGAACAAGTAGTGGGGACCTATGAATTTGGTGAAAGGAATGAAAGAGGAGATAGACTGGTGCAATTTGCAAGTTACCAGAACATGTATATATCGAATACATTCTTCAAGAACCCCAACAGAAAATGGACAAGGGAAGCACCAAATGCAGTGACTAAGAATGAAATTGACTACATTCTTACCAACAAGACCCACACAGTTAAAGATGTCAGCATTCTTAATAAATTCCAAACAGGCAGTGACCATCAACTAGTCAGATCGAGAATTATCTTAGATCAGGGCTGTGGAGTCGGAGTCATCAAAAAATCCACCAATTCCAATTCCCGTTTACTTACCAACTTGTTATGTACGTATATGAAACGGAGTCAGATGGTAAGGAAAAGTCAGAGTCGGTAGATTTTTACGCGACTCCACAGCCCTGTCTTAGATTTAAAACTAGAAAGACTTAAGTTAGTCAGAAAACCAAGAATATAATATACAAACATCTCCAACCCGATATATAATATAGCTACAACCAACAGACTGCCGAAAATCTATCGGGCTAGTTTTATGCTAATTATTAAATAAATTACGTAATCAATTTGGTTACGTAATTTATTTAATAATTAGCATAAAACTAGCCCGATAGATTTTCGGCAGTCTGTTGGTTGTAACCAAGAATATTAGGAATCAATATCCATAACCTAATGAAAAATTCAGATCAGTACCAAAGGGCACTAGACAAAAGACTACATGACCAAGTCAATAGCTCTCAGCTAATGAAAATCATTCTCGACTGTGCTATGATGATAGAGGACAGCAGCAGAAAACTGAACACAAGAAACTGTCTGACAAAACTAAAGATCTGTTAAAATGCAGATGAGAAATGAAAGCAAGTACTAATACACAGAGAATAGAATACAAAGAATTATGTAAGACAATAAAGAAACAGATAACAGAAGATATTAGGAAATACAATGAACAACTGATTGAGAATGCAATTGAAAATAGAAAAAGTTATAAAAGGATAAAAAGAGTGCTAATCATGGGGAAGAAACAAATAATTGCACTAGTAAACAAAATCACCAGGTCCACAAACAGAAACAAAATAATTCAACAAATAACCAAGTTCTACAGTAAATTATACAAAGCCCCAGAGATGCTTGGAGAAGAAGCACTTAACAATGGAGAAAACATCCCAGAAGTTCTAATGGAAAAAATAGAATCAGCACTCAAAACTATGAAAAATGGTAAGGCAGATGATAATGATGGAATAATAGCTGAAACATTGAAATATGCTGGCAAAAACACAGAAAATCTTAGCAAATGTATACACAGAATGCCTAAGGTTAAGATGCATACCAGATCATTGGAACAGTGCAAATATAATACTCATCCATAAGAAAGATAGAAAAGAGGATATTAAATATTATAGACCCATAAGCTTACTCCCAATTATATACAAAATATTTATGAAGATTATCAACAACAGATTAAAAAACACATTAGATGCTGCACAACCATGGGAACAGGCTGGCTTTAGAAGTGATTTCAGTACAATAGAACAAACACTGAGAGAATTATTAAGTTGTACCAATGACTATCGAATACCACTGGCAATGGCCTTCATTGACTTTGAAAAGACTTTCAACTCCATATATCCCAGAGCATTAATAGAAGCTTTAACCAACCAAGGCATTGACAAACCATACAGAGAAACTCTAGCCAATATATACAGAGAAGCAAAAGCTAAAGTGAAAATATATGACGACACTCCAGAATTTCTCATAGCCAAAGGCATTTGACAAGGATACTCAATATCACCCAAGCTCTTCATGGCAACCCTAGAAAATGTATTCTGTAAAATAGACTGGAAGAACAAAGGTATATCTATAGATGGAGAACACCTCAACCATCTACGATTCGCTGTTAATATCATCCTGATAGCTAAAAATCCTGCAGAACTACAAGTAGTAGACAGCAATTTAAACAAAGTTAGCAATGAAATTGGCCTTAAAATGATCTTGGCGAAAACAGAAGTCATTTACAATGAACTGGTAGACAATCAAGTCATAACAATAAATGACATCACACTAGAAACAGTAGTTGAATATATATGTCTGGGACAAGTAATACCCAAATCTGGCTCACTACTTCCAGAAATCAACAGGTGGATCAAACTAGCATGGTCTATATTCAGAGGAAATTCTGAAATCTTCAGGTCTAAAATGCCAATCCACCTGAAGAAAAGAGCATTCAATCAATGTGTACTACCAGTCATGACTTATGGGTGTGAACTTGGACACTAAAGAAATAACAGCAAAACTCCAAGTTGCCCAAAGGTCAATAGAGCGATGCATGCTTGAAATAACCAAGAGAGATTACAAAAGAATAGAGTGGATTAGGCTGAAAACCCAGATAACTGATATGATCCACAGAATTAAATTTCTCAAATGGCAATGGGCAGGACATCTGGCAAGGACTGACAACAGATGGTCTACGAGAATTACAACGTAGTATCCACAGGGAATCAAGAGACCAAAAGGACGTCCAAACTTAAGATGGAACTATCTGTACATTTCTATATTCAACAGTTGACTCAATGGTGAGAAAACAACCATTCTAAATGGATCATTAAGTTCTCTGTTGAGACTAATATCATCACCGCTGTTTCACTGTTGAACTCAACAGTCTCAACTATCTGAAAGACTGTCAAGTATTCAACAAACTAACATGGCGGCATTCATGAAACAAGTAAATTTTGCTTATAGAAACTATCAATTCGCTCTTGCTGTGGATGCTGTAATAGCAGACAGATTGATCTGTATATGATAAAACATGTGATTGCACAATTATGTTGGATAATTTGGTCAATATTGAAATATTAAGCTTTTTTTCAGAAACAAACTACCTCCACGAATTTGTCTAAAATTAATTACGACCGATATTTGGCCCTCTTTAAGTCTTCCTAATGATATATATATTCAAGAAACTCAAATTATTAAAGACCCACTATAGAATAAAATGATAGAGAGGGTTCATAAAAGGATTTATTCGAATAATGGTTAAGAGAATCATTTTAATTATTTAGCAATACAGTCATAATTGTTGGCTTCTCCTTAATTAAGTCAGCCATCATGAAAAGTGCCCTTTCAACAGAAACGTTTCTTTATTCTATAAAATGTGACGTCAGATCATTCAACAGAGAACTCACCGGTGATATAAGTGTTGAATTTAGAAATGTATGGTATGACATAAAAGAAACAAGCAGGCACAACATAGTGGAGAGAAGAAAATGATAGGCAAGCATTGTCACAAATGAAGGACAATTATGTAAGGGAGGCTATACCATAATTTGAAATGGTAGAATAGGATTATATTACTTAACCAGCATTATTTGACTACGACGTGCGAATTAAGAAAAAAAAAAAATTCAAAAATTTTTTATAAAAAGCTATTGTACGATGTAATGCGAGAAAAAAGGGATTGTACTGCTGAGGAAGCACGCTTTGGACAATCTCTCTACATGTCTGGTGACATTATTGCCAACGGCTATTTTAATAGTCCAGAATTCGAAAATGTTAGATTCGTCGTCCTTGAAATGCATTGACCACATCATATTATTATTATTACAAAAGTGTAAGCATTTATCTTAAGCAATATAAAAATTACTAAATACATTTAAATTTGACGGAAAAAGTTTATTTACAGTAGGAAAAGTTAACATAAAAATCAATCTTCTGGCCTTTTACGAGGAGGTCCACACGGTTGGAGCATCTTCTCGGTTACATTAAATCTTATTCTTGCTTTTGCTTCATTTTCTGCAATGCTAAATAGGTTAAGAAGATCGACATGTCCGATGCACGATGCTCCATTGTCTCTATGATGATTTACCACCCATTCAAATCTTCCACTGTCCGCGTGACCTGTACCGATGTATTTCGACTGCAGATGTTCTAATTGGCTGTGGATATTATATCTGTCGCCCATCCTAATTTTAATACTTTCTACAATTTCTTTTACTGTATTTGCTAAAGAGCAACCAAACTACACACGTTCAAATTTACTACTATTTCTACACTGCGTCGAAGCAGTGTTGCCAACTCAAAGTGACAAAAATTGCTGCGATTTTTCACGTTTTTAAAACGTTATTCCTCGAATTAATGTAAAAATACCACGGAATTACCATACACACATTTAAGCAAAAAATTCGACATGAATTTTCAGTAATTCTAATAATTATTTTGATATTGCATACTTTTAACTTGAACTTTATATATATATGTTACTGTGAATGACCGATATCTAGCGAATGTCAACATTCTCTGGTGAATGTCAACATTCACACAGTCGCAGTGGCGTACCGTGGGTGTCAGCTGCCCGGGGCGGAGGAAAATTTCGGCTTCCCCCCTTATTTAGGTATTTCAATTTAAAAGACCAAAATTCAGTTTTGTCACAGAACAAGCAATGAAAAATTCGGTGGTAGTGCAGCGACCTGTTGAAAATAGTTCTATTGGACATTAGTGGTGTATATGAACGCGAATGAATCGTACAAGCAAGAAAAAAAAAGTCAATAGGTTTCGCAGGATTTCCTAGGATGAAAAAATTACTAGTTCACCCGGACGGCGAGCCGATTTCCGGGCTGTCCGGACGATAACACTATTGTAGGCGCGATGCAAGTATACATTAGGATGTTCCAAATTTTTACAAGATATTATTATTATTTATTGTGAAATTTTGCCGCCCCCTAAAAATTGCCACCCGGGGTGTGCCGCCCCTGACGCCCCCACTACGGTACGCCCTGCACAGTCGTTTCGTGTATGTACAAAAAAATATTTGCTAAATATCATTTCTCACTTACACCGGTAAATGTCGACATTCAGCATGCACTGATGGTGAATGTTGAATAAAAACATTTTTATTACGTTAAGACAAAAATACAACTTTTTAATATGTCAAAATTAGGGTTTCTCAAACGGGATTCCGGGATCCCGGTTATTTTTTTAACCCGGGAAATATCCCGGGAAATTTTTCTTATCCCGGGAAATCCCGCAAATTTCTTAAAAATTCACTTTTTTTCTTATTTTGTGTTAAGGTTGAGGAATTTTGCAAATAGAAAGCATAATTATCTCATTCACTGTCAGAATACATTTGTATTTATTAATTTTAAACCTACCTATTNTATAAATTTATCTCTAAACTGCTAAATCGAATAAAAATAATCTAGATTGGCAGGTAATCTTGATGCATTGTTAACCACGTCGAGATACTGTGGATAACGGCTCCATTTCGCTTTTACTTCTTTCTTTCAACTTAAACTGTGTTCTTTTAATTAATGTTTAATTGCATGATTATTTTTAAAAGCAATAAATAATATAAAATTACAATTATTTACTAAATTACTTTGTTTTCTGAATAACTGTCCTTTGTTTTATATGAGTTATATATGAAATTGAATTTGTTTCGTACAGAAACAATTTGAAATGTTCTGATAAACAAACAAGTAAAACGGCAAAACCATATTTGGGCCAAGACTATGTCTTGGAGACTCACTACTAAGCGAAATCACTTTGACGCTCAAGGCGGGTGTCGTTCTCATTCTCCAATCTTCTTTGGTATCGCTGCTTTTGGGCGCGATCGTTCAAACTTCGCCGGCCACGATGCATTTTCGTTGAAATTAACCTATGCAATTTCGAAATTTCTCTCCGTTGCGTGTCGGCCCGGTTGAATTTTTGTCGATGCGTAACGAAAATTTCCCATTTTTGAAAAAAATAATCGTGGCTATTGTATCGTCCGAAATTATTTTTTATTTTGCACAAACAATATACAGTTTAACCCGATTATAACGTCATCGGATGTAACGAAAACNGACCTAATTCTAGCACCCGGTGAAAACCGGAAAGATCGGCTGTATAATTAAAAAGGTCATCTTACGTAAGGGTTTAACACATCGAATGACCAATCAAACACATTTTAAAAATTCTTTATTCCTCTACTGTACACAATTTAAATAATTTTTAAAATGTGTTAGACTGGGCACTCGGCGTGGTAAACTCTTACGTAAGACAACCTTTGTAAATATAAATCAAAAACTATAATATAATATAGTAGAAGGATTAGAAGTATGAAATAATCTAATAATCATCTTTGCTGTTGTTATTTTTTTGCCTGAGTAACGCCGGGCTCATCTGCTAGTTTATTTATAAAAGATAGAAACACATTTTGCTCTTTCATCATTTACAAGTTCTCAACTAGTTGATTACGATTTGTACGATCTTCTTCTATCAACACTAATTTTAAAAAATTAGAAAATACTAAAAATATATGGCATTTCGCAAACCACATTTTAACGAAATAAATTTGAAAAATACAACAAATATTAAGATGTTTAAAGATCGCCATATGAACATGAGACCTGAATGAGATGTCGAAGGCTGAACGGATCATACGAAACATCAGTGATGAAACGCCTAATGCTCCGTTTCTACGTTACCTGAAACAGAATTATCGCAAAAAGTCTGTTTCCTTTCTACATCCAGAAGTCTTGTTTTCTCGTTAGGAGAGAGCTGCTAGATTATTGCGTCCCGTAGTAAAGTTTGACGGAACTGTTATGAGTAGTTATAGTCTATATATATATTTCTATATATGGGAAATAATGCCTTCCGGGAGATCTTTTAAGGGTAATTGGTTCTACTCAGTTCGTTATAGAATAGAGAAAACCCAGAAAACTCCACGTGGCTAGCCCGTCCTGTCGAGGCGCGAATCCACGACCGAACTCTCAGTGTTCAAGGAACGGAACCGTTTGGCCACTAGTGAATCTATCTAGAAATTGAGCACGGATTTTCTCAGCGACTCTCCTGGTTAATAATACGTAAATGACGATACTTTTTGATAATGCTGTACTGTATATCTTGTCAATATGAAATTTGTCGCTCATTAAAGTTAAAAATCAGTCGTAAATGACGTTTTTCTATAACTCTTGGGATTCCAAATAGATTTTTAAGTAGTCCGACCATTTTCTGCCACATGAAAACGGATACTGGGAACAAGTAACCCATCGTTCGGTGTCCTCGCCTGTATGGATAATGAATAATGTTAAGTAGTGTTAATTAAGTAAATTAGTTAAATGAGTTTATTTAAGTACAAATTCTGGTCTAATTTACTTAAACAATAATTGATAGGTTTTAGTTTTAAAACAATTTAAAACTTTATAATTATGAAGATTTATTAATAATAATTGTAATTCATCCAGTTTAATTTGCCTGCTGTGTTTCAAAATCGGTTATGTATCAAGCATTTACAGTATACTTTGTGTAAATTTGTTGAAATTCACATTATAAATGTTATGATTGTATTTGTATAAATTGTTAATTGTATGTTTTGGGATATGCCAGTTTTGAGAACGTTAAATTGCTAATAACAATTTTCGCCATTACGATATGTAGATATACGTGGTATACGTATTTCATTTTATGCAAATCTATCTTTATTGAAAAATATCATGGATTAAAATAATAATAAAGTTAGTTTTGGCAACGTTACATAAATATTTATTAATGGAATATTTTTCAATAACTTAAAAATTTGTTGCTTTTGATAAATAGAGATGAAATAAAGGCCAAATTTCATATTTTCATAATGAGAAAAGTGATGATTAAGTTTCGAATAAGTCTATACGACTTCCTAAGTGGAAATAATTTTTACAGGGAAATAAAGTAAAAAAAAAAAAAATACATGTATCTAGATTGTTTTCAACGTTCAAAGTTTAATTTTCATTATCGAAAAAATATATGCCCTGAGATTAAAACATCTGAAGTATTGACAGATTTTTCTGTTTTCTGACATAGAGAAATGAAATGTATTTCTCTATGATTTTATGATATACTAAAAGGAGGTATGATTTAGTTTCCTTTTAAAGAAAATTAAATCTGAAATAATCTGTATACAGTATATATATATATAAATGGACGTGTTTGTGCCTATACGTCACTCTGCAGCCAAAACTACACATCGCACATGAATGGTGTTTGTGTGTGGTAGTGGCCCAAGTCTCCCATTGTGCACTATTGTGCACTACTCTCACACCCTTATAGCATACTATCGATAGCTATAAGGGTGTGAGAGATATGGGTTTGAAAGTGGTTGACTTCGAAAATGTGTGACGCTTCAATGAGAATGTTCCAGTTTTTTCTAGAAAGTTCCAGAATCTAAAGAGATGAAATTTGGTACACAGGATACATCATGAAAACGCACACTAAGAAAGAATTTTTCGAAATTCCCCCGCAGTAGGGAGAGGGAGAGCATTAAGACTTAACCCGAAGAACGGCTTCTACTGTACTATTTTAGATGCGATTTTTTTTGTTTTTAATTACGTTTAGTCTTCATTGAGTACTTAGGGGGTATTAAATTGATAACATTTCAGACATTGTTATAAATATTTTTTATATATTTCGATTTTTTAACCAAATGTTCGAACCGTTTTAAATTCGAATTTGTTATTGAATATTGGTTCGATTATAGAACGANAAAAAAAACTCCACTAACGGCATAAAACCGTTTTAACGTCATATTTGAAGCACTCCCAAATTTACAAAATTTGATTACAAGTTTTATTTAACATAAAAGAAAATACGTGTTCAGTCTTAAGGTCAGAGTTCACTTCTTAGAATGACTGTGGGTGGTACTTTCCCCTACCTGATTTCGGTGGGGTGATGTGGCTGTTTTGCCTGTTTGTAGAAGAGGATCGCCATTTTGTATTTTATTTTGACTCGGTTCTCGGTCTCCTGACTACCTACGAATCTGGATTTTTTATGCGCAAATAATTTGGGCACCTAATAAATACCCTGTGCCAAATATTAACTCTTGACATGTACTCCTTCATACCTATATGCTGGCAGTACGATTTTATAAACAAGACATAGTCTTGTCAATAAATACTGTATTCTACACTTTTATTCTATGCAATATATAGAACTTTTCAATTGTACTAATATAGTTTATTAGTATATAGTATTAGTACGTATATACTGTATAATTAAAAAGTTGTATAGCTTAGACCAGGCATGGGCAACATACGGCCCGCGGGCCAGATCCGGTCCGTCTGATGAATTTATGTCGCCCGCGATCAATCTTTCAAAATAGCTCGATGAAAAATTCAGGATTGGCAGGTAATCTTGATGCATTGTTAACCACGTCGAGATACTGTGGATAACGGCTCCATTTCGCTTTTACTTCTTTCTTTCAACTTAAACTGTGTTCTTTTAATTAATGTTTAATTGCATGATTATTTTTAAAAGCAATAAATAATATAAAATTACANATGATTTACCCCCTTTTTAAAAATTACTATTTGTGAAGTAAAACTTTAAATAAACTAACTGAAATTGATTCTATTTAGTGTTATTTTAAAGAAATTTACGTAATAATAATAATAGTAATATACGGGTCATACAACAACTTAGCGATGGAGATCAGTTTTCAGTAATTTGATTTATGGAAATTTCGTTATTATTCCTGTAGACAAAATATTAGACACAACTTTTTTATTACTGTTGATCTTTACTTGTCTTTCAATGTTCTTCCGTACTATTTTCGTGTTCTATTGGACAAGAAACTATTTCTATTTCTGACGCTTATACTTATGACGAATATAAGTCTGCATCTTCACCAGATCTCGAATCTTTGCTTTTTAGGAATTTTTCCAGTTGAGTAAGCAGATGACGATGGTCATTGTGACGGTTCTGGTCTCAGCCAAGTATTAGTAGAAACTATTAATTGTGAGATAACCTTTGAGATAACCTCATTTTTCATGGCAGTAAACAAAATGATAAAGGGTACTGATTGTAAAGATGGCCCTTTTATTTCTAGGTTTATTTATTTATCTCTCCAGAAACAACAGTTTCTTTTCCCTAGTAAAATTTCCACCAGTTTTTCAAACTTAGTATGTCTTTGGTTGCCATATCTTTTACCAAAATCTTTCCAGAGGTACCTCAGTCTGTATAATATGACAAGTAATTTCATGAAGTGTGAAGATTCTTCCGTGTCTTCGGTTTGGTTTGTTTTATTCGTATATGGAAACGTGACACAGGGGATGCCTTTCAGGAGGTCTTTTATGGGAAACCGGTCTCTCTTTAGGTGTTACTAACGCGAAGAAAACCCGGAAAACTCCACGTGGCCGACCCGTTGGCAGAGACTCGAACCCACAACCAATTATCAGTGTTCAGTGGTTTTATTCATTCGGCCACTGGTTAGCCCGTCTTTTCGGAGAAGCTTGGATATTATGCCGAAATCTCGATTACGATTAAAAAAAAAACTATTACCTCGAAAAGGAAAATATTGCTGTATTGTCTGAAATCGGCCAATACCGTGAGTTGAAATATAGCGAAGAAGAATCAGGTTTTTATTTTGAAAAGTTAAACATTGCTATTAAATGTAATTTAATTGATGGAAGCAACACTGTTGACATCTTATTTTTTAAATTTTCATAAAAAATGCAAACTTTTATATTGAATAGACTAATCATTTAAACAGAGACATGAGAAACATCTATATAAAACCAATCGATATTTCTATTTAACTAGTATATGAAATAAGAAAAAGAAACATATTCAAAATGATAAGTTACACCCTTTAAAAAAATTCGATTCAGTCTTGTATTTTAATATAATTAATGCTTATTTTAAAAACGACTAGATTATTATTGTAAATCGTAATACAAAATTAAATCTATAATTATAGTTTGACCTATTGACCTAATATAATTGAAAATCTAACTATAATAGCCCAAGTTTACTCAAATGAGAAATGAATTATTCTAAAAAGGTAAATAACCTGCAAAAATTTTATTAAAATAAATGTTTTTAATAATATACTGTATATTTAATAATTAAATATCGGTATTATATATCTTTATACTCAAGAAATTTATACTTAACTAGATACTTCAAAAAATTTTCTTGAGAGTAAAGATAAATAAACTCTATATATATACAGTAATATATAATACATATATGATTAAATAATACACCATATAAATTATTTAATAGTAGTTTATTGTCCCTTAAAAATAACGATAATAGGAAACGATTTCATAAGTAATAATTTAAATATTGATGAGAAATATGAATTAATTAATCATATTTATCTAGGATGATTTCATTAATTCGTACTAAAAACGTTGATATTGCGTTACAAAATGTTCCCTCGTCGAATCACGTGATATCTAGCTATTTAAGAGAGAAATATATTCACTGGTATGACAGAAAGCAGCTGAAAAGTTTTATGACAAATATCAATGGCTGTCAATCGAGATGACGCATCTTTATCTGTTCTTTTTTTGGCATATTTATTGTCGCAAACGTATCTAGTTTTATCAAAAAATCAATCTCTGTTCATCTTGATGGTGGACGGAGTGAGATGGAATTATATAGACGAAAATGGATTAATTGGGTTTCCCATTATGGAAAAATTTGGTGTTAGAGCTCAATATGTTTTGCCTATTTTTCCATCTAATACCTATCCTAATTGGCTAACTATGGTCACAGGTATGTTTTTAAATGTCTAAAATTTATTTAATTATAAGATATTAAATAGGTTAATCATTAGAAATTTGACAGGCTTGAATAATCTTATCACATCATCTAAATTCGAATGCATTGTGTTTTATTAACTAGCTGATGTACAGAATATGAAAACAGCAAACAGGAAATTTGCAGATAATAATTTTTTAGTAGTGTAATCGGCAACAAAATAATTTAAAGTGATATATTTCAAGAGACAACAATCAATTAGCCTATATTTCAAAGCAACATCGAAAGTAGATGGAAAATATTCTTAATAAGATTTTTAAAATATTTTCAAAATAACCATGTTTTGTTGGAAGCGATAAACTAAATTACCGATATTCGAGTGAAAGAGCACTAATTAAATCAATAGTCTCCAACTTTTTTGACTATCGATTCCTTTGAGGATTCCTTGATATTTTAGCGACTACCTCTTCTTCGTTCACCAATGCAATTAATAATAATAAATAAAATTGGTGATCCAGTATTAGAAAAGATCTACTTAGTGAGGCAAATTTACATCCTGAACTATCATATACATCACTCATTGGATTAATAATTTTGAATGGACCGTTTTCAATCGTCCACCGACTAATTTTCTATCTCGAAAATGCCTTAGTTTGGTGACTCCTGTATTAAATGGTAATATTAATACGATAGACGATTTTAGACAGTTGCGCATCATTTAGATCATGTGTTCTTAATAATTAAATTGCTTTATTGACTTACTATTTCCAAATTGACATACTATTTCCAAAAAGTAATTGAACGTGAAGTTGAATGTGTTATATATGAAAAAGCGTGATGTAAAGAAGAAGTAACGGTTAAAAAATTAAATAGACAAGTCAATTTTTAAAAATATTTTAAAAATTCTGTCTTAAAAGATATAATTTCCCTATATGTAAGACGAATGCATCCAAGTCAGTTAAGTTCCGTTGTTGCATGCGTTGTTCGTCGAATGTATGCGTTAGAACAAGCAGATGGAGGGCGCTTACAGTAGAATCGAGTCTGATTTACTGGCTACTTGAACATTTTCATGTGTGCCATTCGGCATATGTAAAGTTGCCGTAAGTGTTATCTGTGGGGGATTACAACTCACAGAATCTGTAATCGCCACACTAAATTGCAATAAAATCGTTGCACGTGATGCTTAAACGTCTGGATATTTCCTGAATTTCTTTGACAACCTACTTAATATGCAAATTGCAGCGACATTAGTCCACATTTTCTCCTATTGGAAAATTTTGGAACAAAACCTTTAATTTGTGATATAAAAATCCTATGGTCAGGAAAGTATGCACACTAAATTTGGTTGTATTTCGGCCATTAGTTCATTCTACATATAGCTCTAAGCACTTTCTGTTTAACCATTTATATTAGGTTGTAAAGATGAAATTTAGACATTTTGATAAAAGTTTTATTGACATCATTAACTCAACAACGATTACAATTTAGACTGATAGATAATCACCATCGATATATATCACATCTCTTCATTTCTGCTGCAAACTTTCAATCCCGTGAGCATAGAATGACTAAGATTTTTCTTTGAAAAAAATCTCCTGCGTCGGTTACTGTCATTGAACTGTATATTGACAATATGGTTCTTTAGGATGCGAAATAAACAGTCAGTTAGCGCAAAGTCTGGGCTGTAAGGTAGATAAATGAGATGAGACAGAACCTCCCAGCCAGACTGGCCATCTTTGCTCTGTGCTGGCGCGATATCATAGCGTTATGTCTATTTTTGGACGAAGTTCTTTGATCTTGGTGTTCAAACGCTCCAGTTGTCCACAGTGGAGTTCTTTCATAAGAGTGATGTTGGTTGGAAGCAGCTTCATCACGATGACGCCAAATAAACGCAGATCATTGCTTTCTGCACTAACGACTCTTTGCCATTTCAACAGCTGGTTGACTTTAGGTCACTCATGAACACTTTAACATCTTTTGCAGATAAGATCACGAGCTTCACTGCGTTGTGTCCACTTTTGAAATGATAAAACAACAGCACGAAATGTGTGTTTTTTTAATTTTTTTTGTTTGAAAGTTTTATATTGTCAGACATAGCTGATGCATCTATTTTCAATGAAATATGTGATGAAGAACTTATGCATCCATATCGAATGTTCTATAACATTTTTTCCAATCGTTTCTAGAAAAAATCGAAATGTCTAACTTTCAACTTGATAAATATCATCTTTACAACCACTCTGTATTTGCATATAGTTTTATTAGCTAAAAATATGATCTAGATATTTTTATATTTTGTAATGCTCTATCTGTTTTTGAGCTATCTTAATGTTTTAACCAGGTGTTCTGGACCTATTATAGAGTAAAAAGTTCTTGTTCAGAATTGTTTATTGCAAAATCATCAAGGATGCTTATTACATTGTCAAATTTTCTATTACCTCTCTTGCATTTAAATCGTCAAGTAAAAAAAGTACTAGTTCATATTTTAGCTAATGGAAAAATATACAAATACAGAATGATTGTATCAGGTTGTAACGATAAAATTTAGATATTTCAATTTTTTTCTAGAAATGACGAAAAAAATGTTGAAATGTTTTAGAATATTGAATAGTTAAGCGACGGATGCCACAGTCCTGTTAATTTGTATCAGTTTGAAATGACACTAACCACATAATATTAGACTGGACAACAATGATTTTTTTCAGACTCAAAATTAACATATTCTTATGTATTTTCATCTGCTGAATTCAAAAATCACTATAAAAATACCAATTAGCTCTTGCTTTGGAGCAGCGGTTTCCAAGTGGTACGCAAGAGCTAAAATATGGTCCGCGAAAGATTTAAAACTTTTATTCATTTTAAATAATTTAAAATGATTGACGTAATCTAAATAATACAAAATATATGAGAAAGGTTTTATAGTAAAATTTGTAAAAAAAAAATATTTCATTACAAAATAGTGCATCTTCAATCATTTCAAATTTTCATTGGCATTTTTCCTGTAAAACTCCTCAGATCAGCATATAATAAAACTACACTCTATTATAGAATATATATTTATGCAAACATGACAGTCCTCCTTGACTCAATCAATTATGCCGAGCACAAGTGGAAAATATGTGGCGATCTAAAAGTCATCGATGTACTCTTAGGAATGCAACTGGGGTACACTAAATACTGTTGCTTTTTATGTATGTGGGACAGTAGGGGATAGGAAATCACATTACATTCAAGCGGACTGGCCTGCAAGAAATATTGACTCTACTGAGAAAAATATCGTTGCTTAGCCTCTCGTGTACCCAAAAGATGTTCTTCTTCCACCCCTTCATATCAAGCTGGGTTTAATGAAAACTTTTGTCAAAGGTATGAACCAGAAAGGACAGGCATTTAAGTACTTAAGAGACAAATTTCGTAGATTGAGTGATGCAAAGGTTAAGGAAGGTATTTTTGTTGGGCCATAAATTTGAAAACTTGTAAAGAATTCCGTGTTTGACCAAGTTTTGGAGGGAAAAGAAAAGGAAGCTTGAGAAGCCTTAAAGGCATTCGTGGATTTTTAGGCAACAAAAGAGACGATAACTACATTCAGTTGGTGACAATACTACTGAAAAAATATCATCAACTCGATTGCAACATGTCCTTCAAAATCCATTTTCTCTATTCCCACCTAGACTTTTTCCCTCCTAGTTGTGGAGCTATCAGTGATGAACATGGGGAAAGATTCCATCAGGATATTTCTGTATTGGAACAAAGATATCAGGACCATTGGAATGAAGTAATGCTTTCGGATTACTGCTAGTCTGTGTGTAGGGATGCACCAGAACTCACTTACAAGAGGCAAGCCAAAAGAAAACGATCTCATTAAGTCACCGCATGATTCTCTTCACACCGAACCACCTGCCAGGTATCCTTCTATTAATTTAGAACTCTTAAAATGTTACTGTAATTTTTAAAAAATTCAAAAGCACTTTCAACGTTGTTAGCATATGTAATTAAAATGTATCGTTTTATGCTGTTAAAATCACCTATTGTATACCACAGAAACTAGAGCTAATAAAAATTTTTCTTTGTCATATTCAATTTTCTCACCCCAAAATTAGTAAGATTTCACTCTTAAAATAAAGGAAATAGACTATTCAAAAAAACATTTTTTTTGTTGTCCAGTGTTATTTAAGATCCGACCATCAACTCAACAAATATTTAATGAACTGTTAAGATTTTTAACTTAAAAACAAATTTCGATATGAATATTAATAAATAATAAGTTTTATGAACTTATAAAATAATTCTATTAAAAGTGAGCTTGATATAAAAATTGCGCCCCAAAAGATCTTTGTTCCGACTTCACAGGACGGCTTTGATCCTCGCTTGGGACTTTGTCCCACAGAGATCGTTTTAATATCTTTTAGAATCATTACCTTTCTGTTTAAGAGTATATCATAATTTCAAACAAGAGATAAAAAGTACAAAAATAAAAATTATACATAAATTCAACTTTTAAATGATTCTTTCATGAGGTTGATTTGACTATATATGTTATGGAAAATACTATTGATATACTATATTGATATATGTTCTATAAAAATATAAATGATTATAATTTATAACTCCTAATTATTAGAAGGCTTACCTAATTTTTGTCGTGTATATTTTTAAATCGAAGGCGTTTATTCGGAAAATCATGGATTTGTGAATAATTATATGTACGACAAAAATAAAGATATATATTTCGAAGCATCTCCTTCTTCCGATGATATATGGTGGTGGAAAGGTATCGAACCGATCTGGATAACGGCTGAAAAACGTGGAATAAAATCGGCTTTATACAATTGGGATGGATGTAATTTAGAAGTGGATGGAGTCAAAGCAAGTTACTGCCGTCCTTACAGGTCTTATAAGCTATGGCCTAACGTAGAAAAAGATACCAGACGAGCTGCTTTTGAAATTTTGAATTTGTTTCAACAAGGATATAGACTGGGTTTATTGTATTTTGAACCTGTCGATGGTAACGGTTAGTAAAGTAATAATTTATATTTAACAAATTAAAATAATTTGTGTTAGTAAAATATAATAATTTCTGTGTAGGACATATTTTCGGTCCTGAAAGCTGGATACGAAAATGGGCTTTACGTCAAATTGATAAAATTCTTTACGATATTCAACAAGAAATACATAAGAAAGGAATGAATAATGATGTAAGTTTATCAATTTTTATTATATTTACCTTTTTGTTAATAAAATTTCTCTTAAGTATTAACTTTTTTTGCACACAGGTTAATGTAATCGTTGTATCGGATCATGGTATGACTAGCATCCGTTTTGGGCGGACAAAAGTGATCGACATAAATTCTGTCGTGTCTTCAGGCGATATTAAAGTTATGCTAGATGTTTATTGCATGTCGATGCTATGGCCAGAAAATGACAAAGAAGAAAAAGTAAACAGCTTTGCTATCGTTATTAATATAGAGTGTTTCATAAATGTTTGGCCAAATTTCACAAGCTTGTAGAAGGAATTTCTCCTCTATAAGTCTGTGGAATTTTTCCGAACATTTTTAAAACATCCTGTGTAATATTCGATACATTAATTAATCAAACAAATATTAAATGTTGTACAAAATTTCAGGTATACAATGATTTGATAAATGCAAATTTGGAAGGACTTCAAGTTTACAGAAAAAGCGACATCCCCAATATTTTTCATTTTCGTGATCATAATCGTATCGCTCCAATCTTAATGTTAACAAACAGTTCGGATTACATCATTGTTCCTGTAAGTGTTCCTTAACTTTTAAAACATAAAACTTTAAATTTTAACTGAATTTAAGCAAATACAGTAAGCTGGATATGAAAACTATACATAAGAAAGTTTAATCGAAAATTTTCTCAATTTCGAATTGTCAATTCTTGTTCGTATTGCGTTATTAAAATGTCGTCTTATTGTGTAAATGTAATTATTTAGATTTTAAACTTAGCTTAAAAGATCCACTCTCATACGAGAATTATCAATTAAGATGACATCAGCATAACAAGTAGAGAAAGTAACAAAGGGATTTTCAGAAATGTAGATTTTCTGAGAGTAATGGAAGGTGTCGAATCAATACATATTACAATTAATAAAATTGTGTAAATTTAGCACTATATGTAAATCTAAACGTAAAATTGGCAATAAGGAGGACTGCAAAAAAGAAAAAAATAATTAAACTTAGGTATATTCGTTTAATACAATTAATAAAATTGTGTAAATCAATATGTATTCCAATTTATAAAAAAGGTGCACCAACAGACTGTAGTAACTACAGAACTATCAGCCTAATTAACCATGCCAGTAAAGTAATGCTTAAAATAATTAATAACCGTTTGAAACCCTATTACCTGAAATAGCTGAAGAACAGTTGAGGTTTATCTCTGGTAAAGGAACTCGTGAACAAATCCTGAACGCTGGGCAAACCATTGAAAAATCAAATGGAATTATCAAATCATTGAAAAATCATTGAATTTAATATCAAAGCTTACCTTTGTTTCGTAGACTATACCAAGCCTTTGATTGTGTAACATGGAACAAATTATGGCCCGCTCTCCAGAACATGGGAGTCCCGCGCCATCTTATTTCGATGATCAGAAATTTATAATGAGATTAACTCTGCAAGGGTAAAAGTTAACAAAACTATGTCTAATACATTTACATCTGAAGTTAAGTTCGCCGATTTTGGGGGCAATACGTTAATTGCGCGTCAGGAAAACCTAGGGTCAAACCGTATGTGGGTGGTGGCGGTAGGAAACAAAGATGACAAGTGTCTTACATGAAAACCGTTTATTTTGACATAAGGTTAACTCACATAATGACAATAACAACGCGATCTAGATCGGCTTTGGTGGGAGCTCCTTGATGTCGACGAACGGGCGCTGACTGGTGTCCCAGGCTTGACAGGAGAGTGTCCGTTGCACAGGTGCCTCTGTCCGGTGATGTTGCGGATGCACGGAGATTTTGGTCACTGGTGGAGAACCTGGTCCGAGTGGAGAACTGCGGAGAATCGGCTGGGAATTCCTCTTCGGAGAGAAGCGGCTGAGAATCTCCCCGCTGTCCTTGAGATTCGGGGGTTTTATAAGATTTTCCCCGAATCTCACCCCTTTGATTGGTCCCGTTCGCCCTCTCCCTTACCCCGATTGGTCATTCTTTTGTTTCTAGGCGAAACTTGAGACCGATCCGGGTCGGGAAAAGGTCGGAGAGGTGATGACGGTCCTTTAACGTTCGCGCTCGTATTTTACTCCGTTATGTCCCTTTTCTCTGTCATCTTGGAACCCAAACGGTTCACCAGATGTTCTTGTGGCCATTTATCCCCTACCGCGTTCTTACTTCACAGATATCCCTTTTGTTCTTAGACCCCCCTTTCTCCCGCTTGCTTCGACCCGA